GAATATGTGCATCAATTTCCCGCGCACGTTCAAGGAGAGTGAGTTCTAAAAGTTTCATAAACAATAATAATTTCGCAGGCTCGTAGCCCGCGAGCGAAGTTAAAAAGTTATTAAGTGATGCGGTCTTCGAGAAGTTTCCCACGCGAATCAATGTAGACCGGTCGCGCACGAGGCATAACATATGACTAGCTATCGACACTGATAAACTCCCTCGCTGAAGGCAATTCCAATACTTGATTCTGTGATTCGTTCAGACATTATTTCAACCTACATTGATCGATAAGCATCGCTTTATAGCCGATAAGCGCTCACAAAGTGCCTATTACAAAATGTGTAAACTCGATACTCGAGTTAAAGTACATATAATCTACCAATTATACTCTTTACGATAGATATGACTTTCAGAAGCACTTTAAATCGATAACGATCGACAAACATAAATCGAGAAAAAATTACCTTTGAGAAAAAAAAATGGCACCGTTGAAAACAACGAGGTATTTCGTTAAATTATTATTACGAGTCGAATAACAATCAAACTGTTTATGAAAACTATAGCACCTGCATATAACGTCTGTGTATATAGAAATGCTTTAGCTGATGTAATGTAATTTAGCTGATGTACTTGACAATAGTGTGTTACGTGACAATTTGTAATAAGCTCGAAATTGCAATTAGATTACAGGAGCGCGCAATTTAACATATATTCGGTATGTCCGATGAAGAAAAAAAAATACTTACGGTGACAAAGTCGGAAATTTATGGAGGTGCTATTTACCTGTTTCTTCAAAATTAAGACGGATTAAGACGGACGGTAACTGGTATAATCGGAAGTTTCAATTTGTTCGGCGAAACTACCTATAACAAAAGGCACACACCTCAAAGTACATGCACGGCCTGCTCGCGCAAGTTAAATTGTAAAACCAATTTTTGCTCCGGAAAACCGCGGGCGCGCGAACTCCAATGCAATAATATTCGTATAAATTGCAAAAAAGTAACTCTGGAAGGAAAATCGATGAAAGTTTTCCTTTTAACAAGCCGGCGCGCGATGCAACAATGGTATGCCATTCGGTAGAGAGAAACCAACCTCACGAGAGAAACCAATTCCAAAGTGCAAACAGACGACGAAGTGTTATGGCCTTTCTGTTGGTTCTTGCAATCTGCCCAATATATAGATGCAGACAGCACACGATATGCCGCTCAATTTACCACCAGGCATTATCCCCGTATATTCGATAACATCGAACATTATTACCGGGGGAATCCGCGTTATATTCTATCCAGAAATTTAAAACAGCAAACGTGCCTGATGTCGCATGTCACATTCATCATTTACATCGCACCGATTGCCACTACACGATTGCGACAATTTTTCCGACATTAAATCACGCGAGGCACGCGCACCTATTTTTACATATCACCCTCGGTCATCTCTGGATTATCTTATTTCGGGAAATACACCTCGTCTCTAGTCGACTCATCGTTGAATGGCGAGATTATTAAGGTATTATTTTTTTTTTTTTTTTTTTTTTTTTTTTTTTTTTTTTTTTTTTTATTTAACTAACTTGATGACAAAGACGCAGCGCGAGTTGTGACGAGGCGTGACGTGCCTCGTATACCGCAACTGTAATCTCGAGGCAACTTGTGCTATATATTTTTCAGCCGTACGTCAAGGGCGCGGAAGCAGAAGTTCATGAACGAATAGCGACGGCCGTAAGTTAACACGTAATGAATTTTGTTATTTCGGCATCCGCCGTAAGTAGCGTAGGTAAAACTGGTGTCTATTAGAACGGCGGTATGTCATTAAGACTAAAAAGCCGTTCGATCGATTTGTTGTTTGACTTTAGTCAAGGCCGGCCCGCGCCCGGTATGTCAATCCAAGACTCCGATAAACATCATTTGTAAATGAATTTTTCAATTTCTAATGGCGAAACAGAGCTCTAGTGCCTACCTTTCGTGTGTACGCGTGTACTCGTATGCTGCGTGCGTGTGTGTGTGTGTGTGTGTGTGTGTGTGTGTGTGTGTGCGTGTGTACGTTCCATTATCTCTTACGTAGACATAGTTCTATATCGGATGAGGATTAAGCCCCAGAGCCAATAGACTGAGAACAGTTTAAAGTATCTATTTCTGGCTCGTTCTCCTCATCTTTTCACGTGTGAGAGAAGTGAGAGCGAAATACGAATATCGAGAAACGCGCGTGGAATGCTAATGTCCGAAGGGGAGCGGAGGGGGGGGGGAAACGTCGATTGGTTTGACATATCGGTCGATATATCGCGCGGTTACACTTTCTTGAGGAGATCTCCTCGACAGCCTGTGTAAACTGCGAGCGAGAGAAACGACCTCGAGTGTTTAATCGAGAGATAATTCACTTCGCACGGCTCCAGTGTAATGCCGCTATAACCGATGAGATGCGCGCCGTGTAATATCAGAGATAGAACATCTCGCTCTTCGGGAAACACGCTCGGCCACTTGCATTTTTTTTATTAATTATCTTCTTGTTGCGCAACTCGGACGGACGGACGGCGCGTTGATCCTCGTTCGAAATAATCAGGAAATAAAAAGGCTCGATATCAACTTTCTCTCAGCGAGGAAAGATATATAAGATAAAGATATATATATAGGGCGTTCCCCATTTTCACGTACCGCATTTTCTTCTATAGAAATATATTCCTGAGGTAATTTAAAGTCAAGAATCGTTGTACGAAAATGTCTGAGGCTGTAATACTTTTCGAATTGTGATCGAATTAAAATTCACCAATTGTAGCTGTTCAACTTCGCACGCGTGACGTAATACATAACAGCGATAAAGGTGGGAAAAGGGGGCACATTTGAAATTTGGAATTTACATTACTGTTACAAAACGTGAAACTAGCAATGATCAAATGTAATCGTAATTATTCGCCTTCATCATTGTACCTAAGCGCGAGAATATTAGCTACTATCAATCAACTTTAATTGCTTATAATTTAAAAACTATTATAGCCTTGATATTTTTGTATTACAAGTTTTTTTTCTCCATATTATCTCAAGAAGGTAATATGATTAAGAGGTAATAAAATGATAGTAGCAAACCATCCTGTATGTACGCTCGTGGAAAAATAAATTTGGATATCGTCGCGAATTCTGTCGTTACGCCTACCTGAGAAAATTGATAACACATAGAATAACAATCGGAGCGAGATAAATGTTCCGGCGAATTCATCTTATCGTTATCCGATATACTCAATTAATCTGAGGCAATCATCCTCTGTGTGTGTGTGTGTGTGTGTGTGTGTGTGTGTGTGCGCGCGCGCGTGTGTGTGTGTGTGTGTGTGAGCGTTTCTTATAAAGTACCGCGAACAATACTCGTCATTCGAGAGTCGATCTATATAGGAATATCGCGATTATGATTAACCGCGGTTGCGGTTGTAACCCCCCCAGGAATGACTTCATCTTAGTCTCTTGATCTCATTCACAAATATTAGACGGCTTTTAGACGATTAGGTCAGAAATACGAGGTAACTCGTGTACGCGATCAGTTCTCCAATATCCGTACAGAACAAGATTGTAATTTCACTGCAACCAGGTTGGTACAACCGTGTCAACGCCTGACTTCGTTATCAATAATGTTATCATCAACGCCTCGTCGTTGTTACGTGCCGTACGTATCGTAATTGGAGCACGGATTAGTTTTCGTAGGCCTGAGGCTTAATCAGGAAACTGATTGAACGCGCGGCGCTACGTCCCAATTCCAGACGAAATTTTACAGTGATACAGCCATTCACGTCAGCGGGGCAAACGGAATGCTGCGTACACAAGGGTTGATTGCCTCTGATCTCTGAATCATCGGTTCCCAGATAGGCGTTATCGATCCCCCTTCATCAAGCACTGACACATATTAGGCCAATAATACCTTGAAAATCGAATTGAGCTTTTCTGAAATCTTAACCACGTTAAGTTTTAGCCGAGACATAATGCGACATAAGCCCAGGATTTTGAGAAAATTATTTTGTAAATATTTAAAAAAATTTTTCTTTCCGCGAAGCACTCTTTTTTATTTCATAAATAACATACGAATCTTTAGCCATGTAAACTGAAAAGTCATTAATCAACTAATATTCTACTAATTATATTCTTATCAGATAATGTTTATATTTTCTTTTTTTATCAGCATTACTTTATCTTTATTACGTGCTTCTGCAGAATTTAAAGTCAATAATAACGCTTTATCACTCAAGTGATTAACTGTCCGAGAGAGAGAGAGAGAGAGAGAGAGAGAGAGAGAGAGGAGGAGGATAATATA